TCCCTACACAGAGCTAGGGACCAACCCATTTCCATTCTTCAAGTGTCATTTCCTTCCTGGGAGGACGTTCCCTGCAGGGCCACAGCAGAGTCCCTGACAGCAGGGAAGGCATCAGCCAGAAGACAGTAGATGTTGTTGTCTGCCTCCAGTCTTTGTTTGCCAAGCAGAGAGGAACCACAAGCCTTTGGGAAAAGCTTCCAAACAATGACCTATGCTTAGAAGATGACTCAGCTGAAATAGCTTCAGTGGTTTCTGTTTTCCAGCAACATCAAGGAGATACCACTGAAGTCAGAATGGTGGCTCCTCTCCAGACACAGCAGGATTGTGTGTCTTTGCCTCATCATCATTCACAGCAAATCCTACCATCTATAAATAGATAGTGCAGCATTCCTGGCCTTTCAATAAGGGCTTAGAGAGAAAGAAGGTCTCAGAAATTGTGCAGCAGTTCCTGGGGGTAAAGGGAAGAGGGATGACCAAACAAATCCTTGGTATTCTCCAGACCAGTGTCCTTAAAAGGCAAAGCAAGAAAGGGCTGAGACAGGACGAGGGGCTGGAAGCTGCAACACAGAAGTAAAGACACAGAGCTCAGGTTTGAGATCCTCTCTGCACAGCAATAGAGAGGGAATTCAGATGCTTCTCATCCTGGGATATCCAAGTTCTCAGGTCAGCAAGGATGTGTGTGTGCTGGCTGCACCTGCCCTCCAAGCTGACCAGTTCATACAGAGCTAAATGTCTGTTGGTGCTCCCTGCTCAGGGCTTGGCTGCCCTGGGCTTGGCACACACTAATGCAATCAGGCAGCTTTTGGACCAGCACTGGCCTTATGCTGCCAGCTGGAAGCATTGTCTGCCTGCACTAGATCACACGTGTGTATTCTGAGGAGGAGGGTTAGAGAGCATTTCTCACAGCAGCACCAGGTAATATTTCCCTCAGCTTATCCACAAAGCTCTCCTGCCTTCATTTAACTGCTCTTCAAGATCCACCACCCCTGTTGTACCATGCCCAACTCAGAGGTGTTTGCTGCCCTGCCTGCATTTGGGCAGTGAGAGGAACAGATCCTTGGAACAAGCACAGCCCTTACTGGGAACTCACCAGGAATAAAATAACTAGTTACAAGAATGGGTAACACTAGAAGGTCAGGTTTGAAAGAGCAAGAGCAGGAGGCTGGAGAGGTCACCTGCTGCCAGCAGGCTGTGCCCAGGGTGGCTGCTGCCTCAGGCTGTTGGACCAGGACCAAGAGTGTGCCCAGCTCAGCTGGTTCACCTCCCACTCCTCTTGCCTGCCACCCTGGCTCTGCTTGGCACCTTCACCTGCCTGCAGGAGCCAGCACCTCAGTCTCACCCTGGTACCCTAATTCCACCAGATAAGGGACCAACAATGTGATTTTTTTCTTCTTCTTTCAACTGGTGCAAATCCTACAATCTTGCAGATCAGCTCCTTACCAAAATGCAGATGACCTATTTTTGTTCCATTGATGGAGGCACTTGGTGTTATTTTAACAGCTTAGAAACCCCTTTGAGATTTTATCCTAACTAGGTGCTAGTCAGGAAGCAACTTCTGACATATTTAAGGCTCTGCAAAGTGCAAGCAACAGCAACTATTCCTGTCAAAGTAAATGACCATATACATTATCTGACAATGTGGGTTCTTTAATCACCCACACAATGTTCCCTAATCAGCAGAGGGTCCCTGCAGCTTCTGGAACTGCCTGTTGGGATTTACTCCTGAGGGTCTTCGTCAAAGTCCTTGGATGTCTAGACATGAGAGCTTTATTCAGAAGGACCATCATTAGATAAGCCCCTTGAGAATGGGATCTATTAAATCTCTTTGGCTGCACTGAACAAGAAGCACTGGTGAGAGCAAATTCCCTCTGTGGATGGGAAACTGAACAGAGTGAAAAATATAGAAAGAACCAACCCAGACTGAACATGCCAGGTGACCCTGCTAGGGAATACAAGCTATTTTGTGTGCAGGAAGCCTGAAACCTGCCCAGCAGGAGAGGTAGGGCTGTGCTCATGCTGCAAAGGTGAGTGCAAACCCTCTGCAACCATTAGTTCCCACACGTGGGTCCACAAGGCCATGTTCAGTGATGTGCAGCTGGTCCCCAGAAGGTCTTAGGGAGCATCCTGTGGCTGTGAGGAAAGTCTTGGCATTTTCCATTAGGATATTTGAGGGCTGACAGTGCCTTGGGAACTGCTGTTCTGAGAAACTGTTTCTAAGGGAACAGAAAGCTTGTTGAGATGCAATTTGTTTCTTCATCTGTGTCCATCACCTAGCAAGGTGCTCTCTGTGCAGCACTGAAATACAAATAATCATGGCATAACATAACAGTAATCATCAGTTCCTGAAGACTGCAGCAATGTCCTTCCTGTAACCTGGGCACACAAAGCCCAAGACATTCCCAAAGCCAACATCTTCCTATTTTTGGCAGGTCCTACTCAATTTTGAATACGACATCTTCTCCATCCCTGCAAGCCTTCACTGATGGAGCTCTGGAAAGAAGACAACAGGAAGACCAAGGGCCTGGGGATGCAGGACCACTCACTATCATCTGCCAGAACGTGCAGGTAGGGACCCACAGACACATATTAACCACACACAATCTCAGTGGCAAGTTTCCAGTAGCTGGGCTTTCCCCAGCAACTCATTCTCTGGTCTCCTTTCACTGCCTGCAACACAAGTTACAAGCTCAAGTTCTCTACAAGCTTTTCAACAACATGATTAACCACAAGCACAGAAGACATCACAGTCCTCAAATCTGTGTTGAGCATGGGGTGGCAGGGCCCTGTCTTCTGCTCACTGTAGCAGTTTTACACGAGCATAAATTTCCCAGCTTCAGAAGAGTTTTCTCTACCCAGATTTGCATGAGGGTAAAGCAAGAAGCACCAGGTCCTGCTTCCTGTTAGCAAATCAGATCTCAGAAAACCCCCTGTATTGACATGAAGGTCAAGCATCCTGTAATTTTTCTTCCAGCCCCTGAGAATAACCAGCCAGCCAGGGCCTCAGAAACGCTGCCTGTTTGTCTGCAGACATGGGGAAAGGATGGATGTTGTGTTTGGGAAGTACTGGCTGTCACAGTGTTTTGATGCCAAAGGTGAGTTGGCTCCCATGGGTCTTTAGATGAAGGAAGGAGAGTGGCAACTGCCTGGGGCAAAGCTTAGATGGAAGCTGTGGTTTCCTAACACAAAGTGTTGGTTTGAGCTGTTACGAGTGGGATGGAAATTATTTTCCTTTGAGGCACTAAAAGTCCTCAAAAGTAACTTCTCAAACATCAGCAACATTCTCTGATTTTGAACTGATACTTCATTTTTGCAGCTTCCTGATGGTTTTATCCCAGAAAAAAACTGCTTAACCCCCAGGCTGAGGCAGGACCTGCAAGGTGTGGAGGTTGTGGTGAAAGAGGGCAGAGACAGACATGATGTTCCTTGCCTCTCTCTGCTTGACTGATTGCAGCAACTGCTTCTGCCCTCTCCCTCCCAGGCAGGTACATGCGCAGCAACCTGAACATGCCTCACAGTTTACCTCAAAGAAGTGGTGGTTTCAGGGATTATGAAAAAGATGCCCCCATCACCGTGCTGGGCTGCACACAAGCAAGGCTTGTGGGTAAGTTGTCCTCAGCAGGCAGGGACTTGCTTTCCTACCTTTCTCCCACACCCCCAGCCAGGGAAAGTGCAAGGCAGGACCAAAACCAAAAGAGTGGGGTGCCCTGAATTAATGGGATTTAGATGTTTCAAGAAACTCTGCAAAGCCCTTTCCCCTTCCCCAGCAAGCCTCCTCTTTCCAAGGAAACCTTGTCTCCTTCAGCTGCTGCAGCTGAAGAGAAGGCAAAGCACAAAAATCTAGGGCATGCTATGAAATCAGAGCCATTAGCACTGGGATTGAAGAGCATTCATGACCATCCTGGGAACGTGCTGCCCTGGAAGATGCTGTTATTACCCATGTTGATGGGAAATGCAGCAGTGTGACTGTCACCTCCTGCAAAACATGCTCTCCCCTTGATTTTGACAATCTTAAATCTTGATCTGCAGTTTGCTACACAATGATGCTTTTATCAGCCTGTCTGGCTTTCTGTTTATGTGGCAAGAACACAGTCCAAATTATTTCCAGTGCTCTCCCACCCCTCCATCCTCCTCCCAGACTTCTGCTCTGTGCATAGAGAGCAAATTATTTGGTAGCCAAGGAGCACATGCTGAGCACTGGGATTCAGGGAGCCAGACCCCTTAAAGACACCAGCTTCAGAGAGCAACATTTGGCATTTTCTCAGATTTTAGAGTGTTTGGTGCTGGTCACATTCAAACTAGGGCAGCTAAAATTAAACTTGCTTTTTAAACAAAGAGAAATGCCTGTGCAGCAGCAGGATGCTCAGCCTCCTGGCCACAATGTGCACCCAACAGAAGGCAAAGCTGGGAATCATCACAGCCCACTGGGTTGGGAGCATCACATGGGGCTGGGCACACAAGTGCAGATGTGACCTGCCAGCCATCTGCAGCCACACAGCCTTGACCTTGAGCATTGCTGGAGCTGGAATTCCTCTGGACACTCCAGCAAACACGCACCTTCCCTGGGAGAGAGACCTGCTGCTCCTGCTCAGTTACCCCCCTTCTCTCCAGAGATTTATAGATCTGTTTGACATGGTTACAACCATCATTAAACACAAGAAGCTGAGGTTAAGAACCCCTCCTTACTCCCACATCTTTGTCCTGCCTCTTCAAATAGAGCAAAAATACAACTCTTTCTTACCACACGTCTGTGCAGAGCTGAGCAGATTCATGTTCCCATTCAGCTCCCTCAGGCATTGCAAAAATATTAATAACCCTAAGAGTGGGGTTGACTCTTATCTCATTTTCAGTGATCTTCCACCTGTGTAATGAAATGGTAATTTATACCAGCAAAGAATCCAGCCAATTGAATTAAGCTGGGCTTGAGTTAAGTTGACTCATTCTGATTTATGGCACATAAATGGAATTAAATTCATTTCAAGCTCTCCACAATTTTTCTCAGCACACTGGTTGCTTTTTGGCTAAAACAAAGAGAAGCAGAAACAGAGGAAAAGCTGCAGTGATTTCTTTGCAGGGGGGTTAGATACCTAGATACAAGGGGAGCAACTCATACAGAAAAATGTATCCTGGTTCCACAGCTCTCCCAGGGCCCAGCACACTCTGAATGACCTGGACAGGCTTGACAAGTGGGCTCCTGCAAACTGCATGAAGTTCATCAAGGCCAAGTGCAAGGGCCTGCAGCTGGGTCAGGGCAATCCCCAACACAAACACGGGTTGGACAAAGAAAGGGTTAAACAAAATTAATCACTCCATTGCTGCTCATTAATATGAATTTCTTGTCACTTCAGTGTTTTGTCCCAGAAAAACATTGGACTGGATCTATCTAAAGTGGGTGCAAGTCTTTTCCCTGCCTTCACTGGGAGCTGCACCACACCCCAACAGTTCCATTAGGATACAGGAGGCAAAAAGCAGGTCCTAGATATTCCCCTCTCTTCCCAATTAAAGAATAAAGCTGGACATTTATTTAAGACAGGCTGGGAGAGTTGGGGTGTTCAGCCTGGAGAAGAGAAGGCTCCGGGGAGACCTTAGAGCAGCTTCCAGTGCCTGAAGGGGCTCCAGGAAAGCTGGGGAGGGACTTGGGACAAGGGCAGGGAGGGAGAGGACAAGGGGGAAGGGATGAAAACTGGAAGAGGGAGATTGAGGTGAGACATGAGGAGGGAATTGTGGAGTGTGAGGGTGGTGAGAGCCTGGCCCAGGTTGCCCAGGGAAGCTGTGGCTGCCCCATCCCTGGCAGTGTTGAAGGGCAGGTTGGATGGGGCTTGGAGCAGCCTGGGCTGCTGGGAGGTGTCCCTGCCCATGCAGGGGGTTGGGACTGGATGATCTTTAAGGTCTCTTCCCACCCAAACCCTGCTGTGATTCTATGAATTCCCAAAACAGACACTGGGAAGCTGCTTCAGCTCCTTGCTGGGGGGCAGACATGCTGCTGTTGCAACATCATTGATCTGGTTTTATTCACCGAGTGTTGAAACTTGCTTGCAGGTGAAGCCTTGCTAGAAACTAATACCATTGTAGACTACATCTACAGCTCCCCATCCCTGCGGTGTGTGCAGACAGCACACAACATCCTGAAAGGTAAGATCTGCATGAGCAGGAAAGGCTGCATTCTCCTCACTGTCTGATAAAAACACTGCCAAGGAGATAAAAGGGCATGGGAGACCCAAGTACAAGGTGATTCAGACTGAGGGTTATTTCCATGAGTGAATTGCTACCACTAAGGAACTTGCTACTCCCAGTAAGAATAATTTACTGCAGGAACTGGGAAGGGAACTAGTGACAGAGGAATGAGATGCTCTGGCATTGGAAACAGTCAAAAAAAAGTTCTAAAATACAGCCATGCCTATGTTCAGTACATTACATGTAGCTGCCAGCCAGAGGTTTACATTCCCTGGAATATTTTCTGGAGTGTGAGGGTGGTGAGAGCCTGGCCCAGGCTGCCCAGGGAAGCTGTGGCTGCCCCATCCCTGGCAGTGTTGAAGGGCAGGTTGGATGGGGCTTGGAGCAGCCTGGGCTGGTGGGAGGTGTCCCTGCCCATGCAGGGGGTTGGATCTGGATGATCTTGAAGGTCCCTTCCAACCCAAACCATTCTATAATATCAAATGCCAAATACAAATATAATTAAACTTTCATACCTCCTAGTAATCAACTGAGAGAGACAAAAAACCCACTTACAATCAAACTCAAGTATGAAAGCAGCCAAGTCTTGCTGCCTTCACCCCAGCTACTTGCACTAATCTCCAGTCTCCTCTCTCCCTTTCCCAGGCATGCAACAAGAGAACAACCTGAAAATTCGAATAGAACCAGGCTTGTTTGAGTGGACCAAGTGGGTCTCAGGAAGCAGCCTGCCTGCCTGGATCCCCCCTGTGGATTTAGCTGCAGCTACTCTAAGCGTTGATACAACCTACAGGTAGCAGACAGGGGGGTGAGAGGGTCTAGCATTGACTTTGTCTCTGAAAAGCAAACACTCTGCTGAGTTTTTAAATGTAAGCAGTGACTGGAAATGCTGCTGATGCTCCCAGGATTCATTTGGAGCAGGCTCGAGGATGCTGTGGTGAACATGACCTGACAACTGGCTTCTTATCAACCCAGTTTCCCAGCTCACTGTATTGCTCATCTCTCCTTCCATCCTGTGCATCTTTGAAGTGTCCAGGACATCCTCAAAGTATTTTTGTCTGGTTTAACCCTTTTCCTAAACCTTAGAGGAGTTTGGGCTCAGTTAACAGAAGGAGTTTTGCTGACTCAGTTATCTGACCATCCCATTCATGGACTGAACCAGGTCCTGGTCTGATTTACACTTTCCCCAGAGGAAAAAGCTGCTCTCTTTTTCTTTTACAGCTAATATGGTAATGGATCCTAATTTTAAATTTTGTATCACCCTGGGGAACATGTTTTCACTGCTCAGTAATTCAGGGTCTCCTGTGGCATCAAAATTGAGGTTTTCTATCAAAAACCAAAGCCCTAAGGATTTACCACTTCTCAGCAATTGATTCTGAAACATTTTTAGTGGGGAAAAATTGCAGGTTTCTGACTCAGGTTTTCAGAGTATTCAGCCTAAAAACAGTTGGTGAAAGCAACCAAAGTAAACATCTGTTTTAAAAACATTTGAAAGGCAAATGGATCAGCACCACTAATCTTTCTTCCTGCTTTGCAGAGAAAGGAAACACCAAGATAATTCCCTCAGCTTTCAGAGGCCCTGACAAAGCTGCTCTAAAAGTGCAGAGCTGACCTTCCCAGAGCTTGGAATTTTTGCCACCCAGCTCTAGGGATGCACAGACCAGTTCTAGTGCCTGTTTATGCTCCTCACCCCAAACTCCCACCTGTGCTGCCACCCTCTGCTGTTATCCTTTTATCCAGCCACATGGCCATACCTCTGTGTTCCCAGTATCCCTGCCAACAAACACTGAGGGGCTACTGGGAGCAACCTGGAGCCAGAGACAGGAGGGAAACTCAAGACTCTGTCCTCTGACTCCCCAGGGAAGCTGCTCAGCCCAAGACACAGATGCTTTTTCCTGTAAGCTGCACAGAGAAAGGCAAAATAAAACCCAGCAGAAACAGTCACATGGCAAAGAATAGACAAGCTGATCTGTTGGGGCTTCCTACTCTCACATTTCTGATTCAAGATCTCAAAGAGCTCCCACAAAGAAGCAAACTCCACAGAAAGGTCACACATTTCTAGTCCTCCACTGCAGTGTCTGTAGCACTATGACTTTGTGCAGGGACCAGCCCTTTCTGCCTTCGTGTGAGCCTGATCACTGCCTGAGCAATCTCAGATCAAAACAAAACATTTATGACACACACACAGTCCACATCTTCCACCCACGTGGCCTTGGTGACAAACATTTTGTGGCTGGGTTTTTGGTGTCACCAGAAATGCTGGTGTTTCCCAGTGTCCCCGTGGTGTTTAAGAACCCTCAAGAGGAATAAGTAGCTGAAACATTAAAAAGAAAAAGAAAGAAGATGTTAAAAAGAGGATTTTTTCCCATATCTAACTGTACCATAAACGACTTGTGTTGCATCCTCTTGGCCTGCAGCTAAAATCCCAACACTCTGAGGGTATCTAAATAGAAGTTTTTACACTGTGTTTATCCCAGAAGGGGCATCACATGGCCAACACTTGGCAGAGCAGCTGGACCACAGGAGAGTTTCTGCTTCAGAAATACATTCCTTCTGGGAAGACCATACAACTTATTCTCAGCACAAGAGCAGAGCTCTGTGTGGTCAGTTGCTCAGGTGGGGGACTGGGACACAACCCTCCCAGTCTCCTCTCACAGGGTAATTCCTGTAGATACATCAGATCACTGGATGGAAGGAAAAGCTGGGTGTTTTCCTTGCACCACAGCACAAAAACAGAGCCTTCTGCTTCCTATCCCCTGCCTCTCTGCCTCTAGATTATCTTTAAGGTTCCTTCCAACCCAAACCATTCTATGATTGGAGGAAGAAGTTACTATTTTTCCCAGCTACCTGAAATGCCTTAGTGCAGGAGTAGGAAATGGTAAAGCTGGTCTAGTGGTTCCCTGCTCATGGCAGGGGGGTTGGATCTTGATGATCTTTAAGGTCCCTTCCAACCTTAATGATTCTATGATTCTATAAAGACCTGAGTCTTGACATTCAAGAAACATCATAATGGTCCAGACACAAGACAGCCCTGGGGAATCAGATGAGTTAAAGAAACAGATACTTTCAGATCAGTCCTAACCTTATCACTTCTTCCAATTCACCATACTTGTTTTTCTGCTCACAGACCTCATATTCCTGTCAGCAAGTTAGTGGTTTCTGAATCTTATGACACATACATAAGTAGAAGCTACCAAGTGACAAAAGAAATCATCAGTGAATGTAAAGGCAAAGGTAAGTGCTACAGAAGGCCTGAAAAACAAGACCAGCTCTCTCCTCCTATGCACATAGTTTAATGGGTTGTTATATGATGAACTGAACATATTTTGGAAGAAATTCTGGAGTGTGAGGGTGGTGAGAGCCTGGCCCAGATTGCCCAGGGAAGCTGTGGCTGCCCCATCCCTGGCAGTGTTGAAGGGCAGGTTGGATGGGGCTTGGAGCAACCTGGGCTGGTGGGAGGTGTCCCTGCCCATGCAGGGGGGTGGATCTGGATGATCTTTCAGCTCCCTTCCAACCCAGACCATTCTGATTATAAATGCCCTGCTTGATCTCGGACACCAGTCCCTAAAGCTGGCTTTGTCTCCCTTCCTCAGCCCACATTTCTCCCTTTGTTCCAGGAAATAACATCCTGATCGTGGCACACGCATCATCCCTGGAGGCCTGTACCTGCCAGCTCCAGGGGCTCTCACCACAGAACTCCAAGGACTTTGTACAGATGGTCCGGAAGGTAATTAGCACCAAGGAGCAAAGCTTGCTCACTTCACCAAGAGCAAACAAATTTGCAATCTGCTTAACCAGGCAGAGGACACTTTGCTCCTGCTGCTTGTTACTGAATTTCACCCCTTTCAAAAGGCAGGAGGGTAAAGCAGGTGGGTTTAAAGGTTTATCTCAACGTGTCACTTCTGTGCCAGAGAGCAGGGGATCAGATGCCCACCCACAAACAGACTTGCAGTGACTCTGCTTGATGTCTCTAGATCCCAGGGGCTGCCCAGAGCCTCCTGGAGTGCCCTCCAGTGCCAAAAACACCCTGCCCACAGATCACAGGGCACTTCTGCCCTACACCACTTCCCTTTCCCATTTCACTCTGAAGAGCTGTTAACTGGCAGCGGAAAGGACTGAAAATTATCATGGGGTCTTCTGCCTTCATCCCTTTACTCCAGCCCTGACTAAGAAGATGGCCTTGTCTCCTGCCAGCCCTGCAGACCCCCTCTGGGGTATTCCCAGCTGATATTTTCCCTGGTGACACCTGAGCCAGAGTCACATCCCTGTTTCTCTTCCCTAGCCCTGCTGGCCTTCAGGGTTTGGGACCATATCAGCCAACAAGGCATCTTTGGTTCCAACTGGTCCCTATTTAAACTGGGCTACAGGGGTATAATTTGTCTTTCCCAGTGTTCTGCACATCCAGTGGTGCACAAAGTCTGACTGTCACACACTCAATCACCTTTTGAAAGTGGGCTTTGGGGAGGGGGAAGCAAGATTTCAGCCCTCTGGGGAGCTCCCTCCCTGCCCAGCTCAATCCAAGCTCATTGCCTTTATTTCCATCTCTCTTCACACAGATTCCATACTTGGGGTTTTGTTCCTGTGAAGAACTGGGAGATACAGGTGTTTGGCAGCTTACAGACCCCCCCATCCTCCCTCTCACACACGGACCAACTGGAGGCTTTAACTGGAGAGAAACCTTGCTACAAGAATAGGCAAAGCTACATGAGCAAGGAAAACCCACGGCCTTCCTAAGCATTGGAGAATGTCTCTTCCTTCTTGTGTTTATTGACAGTGGAAAAATAGTCACATTATGTTCAGTGGATCACACAAGCAGCTGTTCTAGCATCTCTCTCACAGCCACAGTCATGCAAAAATTCTCATCTATTAGACAAATACAAAAGGGAGTGATCTGAGGGGGGGGAAATTAGAATTCAGATTGCAGCTCTGGCACAGCAAGGAGTCTCTCTGTAGTCAGTAGCTGGGGTGGATTTCCCCAGTTGAATGAAGCTCTGAGAACAACAGGAACTTTCACTGCCTTCTGCACCACAGTAGAAACACTGTGTAAGAGTCAAGCTTTCAGGATACTGGGCTTTGGTTTTTTCACTATTTTTGCAAAGCATTTGCAGGCTTGTTCAGGACCACACGTTAACACCCTGTTCAGACCAAACATTCTCAGCACCTGCCATCAAGTGTTTCACCACCAACTGGAAATTCAAGTCCAGCACTGCCCCTGCAAGCAGCACCAGAGGATTCCTCTGCTCTGTTTCAGCACTGCTGGGGCTTGTGCTGGACATACCAGGGGAGCAAAGACTGATCCACAGCAGAAGAAAATGCTGGATTTCACCTGAAGTTTGCACATCAAAAGCAAGCACCGTTGTGAACAAAGACTGGGAGAAGTTGCCTTTGAATGGAGGTGAAATCAGCCTGTTCCAACCAAACCTGAAGGATTGAGAAAGCTGGAGGGTTGTTCCCCTTTTATTGAAATCCACCCTTGTGCACAGCCCCAGCCTAAAGTGTTTGTATCATTTAAAATCCCTTCAGAAGAGCCTAAAAAGTTGTGCTGGTCATTTACACAGGGGTGGCTTTCTGTCCCTTGTGAGCTTTGCTGGCAGCCCTGGTGAGGCTCTGCAGTAAGCAGCTTTCTTCAGGAAGTCATGATGAAATCAAAAAGCCACTGAAATTCAGCACACTTTAATTCCCAAGTGCCATCTGTCATAAAGACAAAGAAGAGCTGAAAAAACACAACCCCATTACATTTAGGAGGAACATGCTGTGGGTCTATGAAGATGCTCTTTATCTGATGGGGGGAAGGGTTCTGTTTGGAGGAGATGGGTTTCCATCTGGAGCTAAAAGTCTTTGAAATCACAAGAAGGGTCCTCTTAGCCTGCAAGATCCCCACACCAGCTGCTTCCCAGAATGCAAAATACAGCTACTGTGGGTAGTTTATAGTAGAAATTGGCTTCAGAGCAGGGGTCTTGTAGATGAGTATTGTCTTAAGTCCTCAGCCTTGGGTGAAGGTTCCTGCAGAGTTTGTACAGGTCTTATCCATGTAGGTTCATTTTAAGAAGGTACTTAAAAATGTGCTTAAACAGGATGGGAGAGATTTAGGCACACTCCTTTCTTGGTATGGGCCTTAAGTTTAATTATTGCCATGAATACCATCAAAGGCAAGTTGGGAAGCACCAGGAAATCAATTTTGGCATCCAAGGTACCCCTCTCTGACCAGAAAAGTGTTGGTGTCCTCATCTGAAACTTTTCTATGGCAGGAAAGTTGAGGCTGGCCAACTTCTGAGGAAGGTTTATTATTCAAAGCAAGATCAAAGCTTGATTTTGTATCATATGAACCTTGGGCAGGGCTGCTCTCACCTCCAGCAGGCTGGGACCCTGCTGTATTTGCAGCAGTGGGAGCAATTAAGGAGTGATAAATTGCAATCCCTTCTGCCTAAGCCAGGCAAAACACTCAGCAATTCCAAAGTAACAAAGCAGAAGGGGTTTTGGCTCAGCTTTGGTTTATTGCACTTGCCAGAGGGCACCAGATTCCCTAGAGATTGGGAGGCAGCAGAGAACTCATCCTGTGCAATATGGACATTGTCACCACCCATAACAGCCCATTGTTTGTACATTTATGACTAGGTAGGACCAGTGGATCATTCATAAGTGCATTATTATAGCAGGGATGTAAACTGAAGAGTCAGGGAGATAACTTATGAGAAGACAGAAGAAACTGCTCCCGTGCAGTGAAACTGCTGTCACTTTAGTTTTTAACTGTAATTTAAACTATTTTTGGCTTGAACAGACACTCTGAAGAGCATTTTTGGCTTGTTTGCCTTCACGTTTCCTCACTGCAAATTGCAAAGAGATGAAAACTGAGTAGATGACAATCACACCAAGGCTAATGGGGTTACTGACGACTGGGTAATTCCCTGGGCTGCTTTTGGTTTCACACCCCAGGCCGGGCAAGATGCGATTTGGAGGCAACAAATGTTGCCTGTGCAAAACCAGAGGAGGTTGCTCAGGTGCTGCTGCAGTTGAGCAACGTAACAGGGAGTTCATTGAGAAACATGAGAGGGAGCAAAACCTGAATGCACAACTTCAAGATTGTACTAGCTGATATTTGCCTAAAGGAATATGGAAAAGAGTGTTCTGTTGGAGAAGGTAGATGTTAAAATAATCTACTTTAAAAAAAAGTATATTTTTGGATGTTTAGAAAATATTTTGACAATGCAGTCTTATCTCTAATTAGATTTTTTTTTCCAGGTGTCAAGAATCTCAAAGAAAAATCCTATTCTAGCATTATTTCTCATAGTGGTTTGTGTCAAATACCCTCCTGTTGGTAAGGGTCACTGGGGGAAAAAAATGTTCCTTTTACTTTCTTAATTGAGACGTTAAGATGTCAAAACAATTGCTGCTTCATTTTCACTCCATTGCTGCTCATTAATGTGAATTTCTTGTCACTTCAGTGTTTTGTCCCAGAAAAACATTGGACTGGATCTATCTAAAGTGGGTGCAAGTCTTTTCCCTGCCTTCACTGGGAGCTGCACCACACCCCAACAGTTCCATTAGGATACAGGAGGCAAAAAGCTGGTCCTAGATGTTTCCTTCTCTTCCCAATTAAAGAATAAAGCTGGACAAGTATTTAAGACAAGTTGGGAGAGTTGGGGTGTTCAGCCTGGAGAAGAGGAGGCTCCAGGGAGACCTTAGAGCAGCTTCCAGTGCCTGAAGGGGCTCCAGGAAAGCTGGGGAGGGACTTGGGACAAGGGCAGGGAGGGAGAGGACAAGGGGGGATGGATGAAAACTGGAAGAGGGAGATTGAGGTGAGAGATGAGGAGGGAATTGTGGAGTGTGAGGGTGGTGAGAGCCTGGCCCAGGTTGCCCAGGGAAGCTGTGGCTGCCCCATCCCTGGCAGTGTTGAAGGGCAGGTTGGATGGGGCTTGGAGCAGCCTGGGCTGGTGGGAGGTGTCCCTGCCCATGCAGGGGGTGGGACTGGATGATCTTTAAGGTCCCTTCCAACACACTTTTCTATGATGATTCTATGAGATTTGCTAAGGAAAAGCTGTTCATGTAGTATTTTAATAAATTGCAACTTGAGGCTTGGGCTAAAAGAACACAAGACTCCAAGTGCAGAATCAGATTCTATCACAACAGCAGCTGACAGGATGGCATTCAGCACCAGAAGGTCAAAACCAGAGTACTTGAAAAAGTCCAGTTTGGATCAAGAGTTTGTCCTTATCACTGGGCTTTGTATGTCCCTCTGTTGAAGCAGATAGGAGGAGGCTGCAGGATCTCCAATGCTCATGCTTTGCCTGCTGGTACCTCTCCCACATCATGCAGGTGCCAGGTCTCAAGTTTCCTGCATTCCCCTTATATTTAGTGCAGTGGCAGTTGCAGCCAAACACTGAAATGCTCTGAGCATGGAGCCAGGTTCTGTGGGAATGTAAATGGACACTGTATGCTCATAAAATGGTTTGGGTTGGAAGGGACCTGAAAGATCATCCAGATCCAACCCCCTGCATGGGCAGGGACACCTCCCACCAGCCCAGGCTGCTCAGAGCCCCATCCAACCTGCCCCTGAATGTTCAAATCTACAGAGCTTGGCTTGTTTATACAAACTGAGGATCCAGACCATAACTTCAGGAAAAAAAAAACAAACAAGAAGCTAGAACCAAACTATTTCCCTTCTCACTCAGTCTGAACAGTTTCAGAACAAAGTCAGGTGATGGCAGGAGCCTCCTCCCCTGCTCTGGTGTCAGCTTCTAGTGTCAGCATTGTGAGAGTGGTAGTTTGCACCACCAAATAAAGTCATTGTTCACAAGAATTCAGTAGGAATTACCTTCAGAGAAGGCAAGGGAGGCAGTAATTCTGCTAAACAGAGAAGGTAGGAGGGATGCTGGAGTGTTATTGCTCTGCATGGGCAGCCCTGAGCCCCCCAGGTAGCAACATCTCAGGGACATGGGTCCTGTCAACTTTGTGCATTAACTGCAGCTCTTGGGTAAGAAGGGGAGGTTGTGTACAGCTCTGTGACAAACTCAGCCTCTGCACTGAGCTCCTGGGGACTGCACTGGGTGAAAGGGGTTGTAAACATTTCCCTCTGGGTCCCCTGGGTCCATAGGAAGGCCTGAACCAGAGCCCAGGGGAACAAAGAGGAGGATTTGTCATTATTTCCTCAAGCTTGGGATGGAGCCCCACACAGCCTGGTGCTGCCACAGGCTGCTCCCCACCCCTCCCCACTGGCTTAATGAGCAATTAATGTTCATTTCAAAAAGAGGGATGTTAGATCTTTGAGTCAGGCTGTAGTCAGTGAACCCTCATTTCAACCCAGAGCTGGAAATGACTTTGCAAGGCTTCACGACTTGAAGTTCCATTTGAAAACTACTGTTTAGAAAGGAAGCCTTAAGAGGTTTGCTTTGTGGTTTGTTTTGGCTTTTGAAAAAAAAAGAGTAGAAGTCAAGAGGAAATTATCTGAACTTTAAAAATATACCTGAAACAATGGTGGTAGCAGACATGCCTTAAAAGGTGAATGAATGAGCAAAAATAATAATTAGGCAGTGTCATTGGTTGCATCCACTCTAAAGAACTATTTCCTTCTCACCACTTCCTCAAATACTTGTTCCCTCTGGAATATTAATGAACCATACATGCTGCACAAAATACACAGCCAGTTCCTTTCTAGCACCTCCCATTCAAATGTATTTTCTGGAACTTCTGTCTGTGGGCATCTCTTAAAACTTGATGTTATCAATGGAGACTTTTTTTCCTCATTTTAAACATGTTGTATCATTCTGTTTATTATGGTTTTTAGTGTGAGCAGATTGTATTTATTTGAGAAAAATGTTTGCTGTTTAAAAAAAACCCCAATAACTGTATTGCCAAAAATAGCTGTAATTACCTGTGACATCTGTATTTTTTTATTATTTTTGGGGGGTGTTGATTGTTTATAATTTCAAGTGCTAACAACTGTTAAAACAACCACTGCATTTTAATTTGCTGAGTACATTAAAGGGATTTCTCAGAAGTCAGACAAAAATGCCTGAGAGGTGATTTAATAAAGATGCCCTGCACCCACACCTTCCCTTCCTATTGAAATACTCCTCTCAAGTGTGCTGGGCTTTGTTGGGGGGAATATCCTGACCCAGCCCTGCAATTAAGTGTCCCTTCCAGTGTTGGGGTACACCTGAGAAATGTTTGCTGTGGCTCCAGCAAGATGTAGGTGAGAAAAAAAAAGCCTCTTCTGGGTGTGTGGCCAGAGAAGAGCTACACAGAATCCCAGGGGTTGGAAGGGACCTGGAAAGATCCCCTAACCCACCCCCCCTGCCAGAGCAGGGGCACCCAGAGCACATCACACAGGATCCAGGGGGGTTGGAATGTCTCCAGAGAAGGAGACTCCACAGCCTCTCTGGGCAGCCTGGCCCAGGGCTGTTCCAGTGTGCACTGGGACCTTGAGACAAAAAAAGGAGTCGGGGCTGCTTCTCAGTGGGGGTTGCAACGCTGCCCTCATTTCGGGATGCCCACCCGGCTGGGGTGTGACCCTCAGGAGCATCAAGGGGAGTCTGAGCTGTTTTCATCCCTTCCCTCAAGTTGAAGTTCATTTGTTTGACACCAGATGGCACAAAACGATCTCGAGTCTTGGCTTTCTGGGGTGGAGTTTTCACACAACCACAAGGGTTGGAAGGGACCTGGAAAGATCCCCAAGCCCAGCCCCCCTGCCAGAGCAGGGGCACCCAGAGCACATCACACAGGAATGTGGCCAGGGGG